GAAATAAAAAAAAACAGCGCCGCCACACCACAACACCCTGCCTTCCAAGATGATACGCACTTACTAACTCCCCTTCAAAATATTAGTCATCACGACTTCACCCAGCTACTCCTCCAGAGACAAATCTTCTTCTCAACCATGGTGATGTGGGCACTTAAACGCAGCAGCATCAGAACGCGTAGCGGAAGAATCCGAGCAACAAGGTGCATGCTCGTGGATGGTGAAGCTGGTGGGCGAGGAAGTGGCCGTACTGCTCTCTTCGATTTCACTACGATCCTCTACTGCATGGTGTGTGTGGTGTGTGTGGTGTGTGTGGTGGTGGTGGTGTGTGGGTGTGTGGGTGTGTGGGTGTGGGTGTGTGGGTGTGGGTGTGTGGGTTTCTGCGCAATGTTTTGCACACCTTTGTCCTCCTGGCGCTGCTGACTGCTGCTGCCCCCCTCTCCCTTCTCTTTGCTTTGACTGCAGCTGCTTTGGCTCGTGTTCCTCTTCATCGCTCTCGGTGTCACTGCCGAAGACTAGTGAGTACTCCAGCGCTTAACTCTGCCTTGTGTGTGCGTGTGCGTGTGTGTGTGTGTGCGTGTGTGTCTGTCTGTCTGTCTTTCTGTCTGTCTGTCTGTCTGTCTGTCTGTCTGTCTGTTGCTTTCTGCTTGGCTCGTTTGTGTCACAGCTTGCACGTCACTTTCCTCCCCCTTCACCACGTGCTCACACACCCCACGCATGCGTGCTGCTGTGCCGCTGCCCACAGCTTCTGCCCTGCGCTGAGCGTCATCTCAGACACGCTCAAGCTGAGTCACAACGTCGCTGGCGTGACCTTCCTGGCGTTTGGAAACGGCGCACCGGACATTTTCTCCGTCTACTCGTCCATCAACAACGCCAAGAACGGCGTGCAGCTCGCAGTGGGGGCGCTCTTTGGTGCGTTGCTGCTGGTTGGGGTGCTGGTTGAGGTGCTGGTGGTGGTGTGAAGAGGCTGCTTAAGTTGATGTGCAATGAAGGAAGGGGGACACGTTTGCTGCTACTCAAGATATCACAACACTGTGCTTCCCCCTCCCCCCCCCCCCCAAACACACACACCCTTGGCATGCGTTTAGGTGCCGGCACGTTTGTGACGACGGTGGTTGTGGGCACGGTGTCCTTCTACTACCCGTTTGCCCTCACGCGTCGCCCGTTCTTGCGAGACGTCAGCACATATCTCATTGCCACCACCTGGACATATGTCGTTCTCTGGCGCCAGGAAATCACAACAGCCCAAGCCATTGGTGTGTGTCTGTGTGTCTGTGTGTGTGTGTGTGTGTGTGTGTGTGCGTTTGTGTGTGTGTGTGTGCTTGTGTGTGTGTGTGTGTGCTTGTCTGTGTGTGTGTGTGTGTTTGAGGCTTATCTCGCTATCTGTGCGCCCCCACCTTCAAGCTTGTGATGGTTTTGCCGCCCTTTCTTACGAGCCCTCCTCTGCTCCACCGCGTTCCCCACTCTTTGCAGGCTTCTGTGCGGTGTACATCGTGTATGTGCTTGTGGTGATCGTTGGCCGCCACATTTACCAATCGCGCAAGAAGAGGCGCATGGATCCCATCGCAGGTGCAGCTAACGCGCACTGCTTGCGTGCATGAACACGCGTAGCTGCTGCTGCTGCTGTTGCAACTGTTGCATTGTCTCACGCACGCACTCACTCACTCACTCACTCACTCACTCACTCACTCACTCACTCACTCACTCACACTCACTCACTCACTCACTCACTCACTCACTCACTCACTCACTCACTCACACTCACTCACTCACTCACTCACTCACTCACTCACACTCACTCACTCACACACACACAAAAACACACTCGCACTTACACACTCACTCACACACAAACACACTCGCACTCACACACTCACTCCGCTCACACATGTGCGCAGAGAAAAAACGAGAAGCGCGCAAGGAGGAGCTGCGCGAGCATCCGCAGCACGGCAGCCACCGCCACCCACACTCCCTCGCTGGTCAGTCCGTCATCACACGCACACTGAACTGTGCTCAACCCATGCAGACTCTCTAGTCAACATGCATGCACGCGGTGAAAACGGACACATGGTGTTGCCCTCTTCCAGCCTTTACACACACACACACACACACACACACACACACACACACACACACACACACACACACACACACACACACACACACACACACACACACACTGCAACTCACGCGTCCCCGTGTTGCGTCCCCATCTTGACACTCTTCCACCACCGCCGCCACCGCCGCAACTGCTGCGCCGGCACAGAGGCGTTTGACGTTGCGGAGTCGATTGGCATTGTTGCTGCTCTTGGACACGACATTCAGGCCTCCCACCACACGGGCGCAACAGCACGCGTGGGCATGAACGGCCACGAACACGCTCGCGCACGCGCACATGAAAGAAGTGGCGGCAGCGGTGATGAGAGCGATGATGATGAGATGTTGGATGCACGCATCGTTGAAACTGACAGCGACGTTGAGCACACCGCGGTCACCGCTGCTGTTGTTGCTGCCGGTGGCGTCCGCGAGGACGAACTCACGGGATACGGAGGTGCGCACGCGCGTGTGTGTGTGTGTGTGTCTGTGTGTGTCTGTGTGTGTCTGTGTGTCTGTCTGTCTGTCTGCTGGTGTAGCTGCGTGTTGTTGGCCTTCGCTTGTTTGTGCGTTGTTTGTGCTGATGGTGCGAGACGGCTTTATTCACCACATCTTCCTCCACCCCCCCCCCGGGCTCATATCCATCCATCCATCCACCATCCCCCTGCAGATGAGGAGCCGCTGTTGTCGTCGCGAACAGATCTCGAGCCGCCACCACCGGCATGGACGCAGTTCTTCCGCGCAATCGTCCCGTTCACCAAGGACGACTTTATGGAGGCATCCATCATCGGCAAGGCCTACATCGTTCTCAGCGTGAGTCGAAGTGGTGATGATTGTGTGTGGGCAGTTCGAAAGGAATCACACACGCACGAACACAACGCTTTGACTCGCCAGAACACATTCGAACATGTGGATCATCTGACCCAACGCAACTCACACGTGTACACACGCACATGTCACCTCTCAGATCCCCGTCACCATCGCCCTGACCATCACGACCCCCGTGGTTGACTTTGATGAGGAGGATGAGCGCTGGGTGCAATACCTCACCATGCTCCAGTGTGTCGTTGCTCCCGTCTTTGGCATCTTTGGCACTGGATGTGAGTTGTCACGTGCTATGCTGTGTGTGTGTGTGTGTCTGTCTGTCTGTCTGTCTGTCTGTCTGTCTGTCTGTATGTCTGTCTGTCTGTCTGCCTGTCTGTCTGTCTGTTTGTAGTTCGTGTCTGTGTGCCTGCGTGTGTCCATGTGTACGTGATTGCTCACACGCGCATGATCTTCGTTTATTGGTGCGTTGCAGTTGGCGACGTGACGATCGGTGGCGTGTATCCTGTCTGGCTCCTCGGCATGATGGTTGGTGGCGTCATTGCCCTCGTCATCTGGACAACCACCCGCGCAAGCAGACCGCCCCGCTTCCACGCGGTATGCCGTGCTCCAATCTCGTGTGTGTGTGTGTGTGTGTGTGTGTGTGTGTGTGTGTCTGTCTGTCTGTCTGTCTGTCTGTCTCCCTGTCTCTCTGCCTCTCTGTCTCTCTGTGTGAAGTGGTTGCGAGTGTATCAACACCCAATTCATGCTTGCAGCCGTTCTCATTGATACACAATGCCACCTGCTCAATCCGCGCAACAGGTGTTTGGTTTTGTCGGTTTCCTTGTTGCTGTCATCTGGATCTACATCGTCGCAAACGAGATTGTCAACCTTTTGCAGGTGCTGCCCTTTTTGCTGCCACACATGACACGCCTTTGCGTTCGGTATTCATGGTGGCGTTGATGGCGTTGATGATGCTGAATGTGAGACGTGGCACGGTGCCTGCTGCTTTGCTGTGTTCCCTTGTCATCCTTGCCCAAACACTCACGCACGCGTGTGTTTCCTTGTCATCCATTCACAAACACCCACGCACGCTTACTGACCTTTCCCATTCACGCGAACCAAATGTGCAGACACTGGGACGCATGTTTGGCATCTCTGACGCCATCCTTGGACTGACCGTGCTTGCATGGGGCAACAGCATCGGCGACTTTGTGTCCAATATGACCGTTGCACGACAGGGCTACCCACGCATGGCTGTCGGTGCCGCGTTTGGTGGGCCCGCACTGAGTACGTCGTCACAATGGTCATTATGGCGATGCCAGTGATCAATGTCGTTGTTGCTGCCGTTGTTGCTGCCGTGGTCGTGCTGCTTCCTCTGTGATTCAGCGCCATCCTGCACAACGCTCCCTCGACGAAGCACACACCCTTTCTCAAACTCATAACCCCTGCTGTTGTTCATCACAGACATGCTGCTTGGGATTGGCATTTCATGCACCATTGCCTGCCTACGCAACGACGGGCACTTTCCCGTCAAGGACCAGCCCAGCCACCAGGTGCTTCTTGTTGACATTTGGGACTTAATGCACCTTCCTGCCACTGCTGTCACTATTGCCACGTTTGTTTGTGTTGCCCACGTTTGTTTGTGTTGCTCTCTCTGTTCATGTTGCCCACTCACATGACTTCCATCACCACACACACACACACACACACACACACAGTTGGCTGTGAGTGGCGGATTCCTGCTGCTGTCACTGCTGTCATCCATGGTGATCATCCCTCTGTGCCGTTTCCACGCCAGCCGCAAGTACGGCGTGTATCTGTGGGTACTCTACCTCTGCTATCTCGCCAGCGCTCTTGCACTTGAGTTTACTGGGCCGTCATGAATATGCACAACCACAACCAACGCAACACATTACGCACGCACACACATCCATCCACAAACCACTTGTGGGGGGTTTTTTTTTTTGTTTCTCGTCATTTTCGCACCATGTCTCGCTCTCTCCAAACCACATCATCACACTACATTACGCTCATGCAAGCAAGCAAGCAAGCAAACAAACATCAACGCATACACACAATCGCAATCGCAACAACAACACAAAAACAACGCGGTTGCACATGTTCGTGCCTTCTTTTCTTGTGAAAGTTTCCAAGTTTTGTTGCTCGTTTGGCACGCTGCCTGCACTGTACACTGTACGCTGCAGTCACATGCACAAACGGTTTCACTCAGGCGTGCACTTAGTCGGTCTTGGGCTTCTTGGCGTGCTCTGCAAAGCAGAAAGCATTTGTCGTTCATTGCGCATGCGTTTGGGAGTTAGGGGTGGCGAGGCAGAGAGCTGGTTGGTTGTAAGCAAACAGCGCATGTTGCTCTGTTGTTCGAAACATCTATGCGCAATAAACATAGCACATAAATAAAATGCCAGGGCAAGGAACAGGCAAGGCACGTGGAACACAAAGATGCATGTGGTTGGTGCATATGGTGTCGGTCATGGTGGTGGCAACTTACGCTTGTCAGACATGCGCGAGACAAACTTGAGAATCTCGTCGAGGAAGAGGACGGGCACGGAGAAGATGAGGACCCACTGCCACTCGTACCACGTCAGTGGAGTCAGCTGGAACAGCGACTGTTGTGGCAAGGCACAGAGATAAGAAACAGAGACGGAGAGATGAAAGAGGGGAAAAGGGACGAACGAAAGGGAGAGATAGAGGGAATGGAATGAGCGCGCGAGATAAAAAATGAAGCATTGTCAACCAGCCCGCAAACCCACGCACGCAGGCGATGGCAACACACAGGAACACACAGCACAGAAGTGCACGCACCGCCATGAATGGGACGTAGAGGATCATAAAGTGGAGGCCGAGGGAGAGGAGATCGGCGGCAATGAGCAGCATGTTCCTCCATGGGGGCATCACAAGCAGGCTCTGGTCCTCAGACACGCTGTCATGAGGGGAAGTAATGGAAGGTGAGATTGAGGTCCATGAGCAAGCAAACCGCAGCCACTCAAACCGCATGCACAAGACCGGCACATTCAATTCAAAGCAAAACCGGCACATTCAACCCAAAGCAAAACGTTCACACACACACACACACACAGACACACACACACACACACACACCTGTTGAGGGCGTTGAGGAGCTCGATGACGACGAGGACGGAGAGGGCCATGGTCATGGGGCGGTCATCCTTGAAGGTGTTGCATCCCTCCTCGAGGAAGGCGTTGTTCTGGCCAAGGAAGGTCGACTCCCAGTTCTCGGCAGTGCACGACTTGAAGCCCGTCACCTGGGACCAGGTGAACTGAGGGCCCTCCTCGTAGAACATGTACCACCAGACGGTGGAGGCAACGGTGGCGGCGCCAACGTAGATGCCGACGGCCATGTAGCGGAAGAACAGCCAGCCGCTGATCAGCTGGTCCTGGGAGGAGCGAGGGGGCTTCTCCATGATGTCGAGGTCCGGCGGGTTGAAGCTGAGGGCGGTGGCGGGGAGGCCGTCCGTGACCAGGTTGACCCACAGCAGCTGCACGGGGATGAGCGCCTCGGGCAGACCAAGCGCGGCCGTGAGGAAGATGCACACAACCTCGCCAATGTTGGAGGAGATGAGGTAGCGGATAAACTGCTTGGTGTTGTTGTAGATGGCACGGCCCTCCTCCACAGCGGCAACAATGGTGGCAAAGTTGTCGTCGGCGAGCACCATGGCGGCGGCGGACTTGGCAACAGAGGTGCCGCTGCCCATGGCCACGCCAATGTCGGCCTTCTTCAGCGCAGGCGCGTCGTTCACGCCGTCGCCGGTCATGGCGGAGATCTCCTTCTGCTTCTGCAGCAGCGTGACAATGCGGGACTTGTGGGCGGGCTCGACGCGGGCAAACAGGCGCGCGTGACGCACAACCTCGTCCTGCTGCTTCTCGCTCATCTTGGCAAACTCGGTGCCGGTGAAGGCCTTGCCCGTGACATCCTCGTTCTCGCCAAAGATGCCAATGCGGCGGCAGATGGCGGTGGCCGTCTCCTTGTTGTCGCCCGTGATGACAATGACGCGGATGCCGGCGTTGGCGCACTCCGCAATCGACGCCTTGACCTCCTCACGCGGTGGGTCCAGCATGCCAATCACACCGACAAACGTCAGGTTGGTCTCAATCTGGTCAAAGTTCTTCGCGTCGACGGAGAGCTTGCGAATCTCCTCGAGCGACATGGGCTCGTCGACGACAGCAAAGCCGAGGCAGCGCAGGGTGTTGGAGCCCGTGCCGTAGGCGAGCGTCTGCTTCTCAATGCGGGCGCGCAGCTCGTCGGTCATGTCCGCGGTGCTGCCGTCGTCCAGGCGGACCTTGGTGCAGCGCTCGAGAATGCGCTCGGGGGCGCCCTTGACGTAGAGCTTGCCCTGGCCGTCGCGGCTGGCATACACGCTCATGCGCTTGCGCTCGCGGCTAAACTCGAGGGTGAGGTCGCGGGAGTAGAGCTTGCGCAGGGCCTTGTTCTTGGCAAGCAGGGACGAGTCCTTGGTGCTGAGGACATCCATCTTCTCGACGAGGACGAGCAGGGCGGCCTCTGTGGGCTCGCCAACCTTCTGGTAGCCCTTCTCCTCGGTGTAGGTGAGAGACGAGTCGTTGCACAGGGTGCACACGGTAGCCAGCTCCACGGCGGCCTTGGAGCTCTTGACATCAGCGGGGCGGCCGTTGATGGTGATGTCGCCGACGGGCTCAAAGCTCGAGCCAGAGACATTGTAGCAGTGCAGCGACTTGTCGTTGTTGACGGTGAAAAAATCGAGGACGCACATCTGGTTGGTGGTGAGGGTGCCGGTCTTGTCGGAGCAGATGACGCTGGTGCTGCCGAGCGTCTCAACGGAGGGGAGCTTGCGCACGAGGGCGTTCTTCTTGGCCATGCGGCGGGTGCCGAGGGCAAGGCAGGTGGTGATGACGGCGGGCAGGCCCTCGGGGATGGCGGCGACGGCGAGGGCAACGGCAATCTTAAAGTAGTAGATGCCGCCGCGGATGTAGCTGCCACCGTGCACGGGGTCGTTGAAGTGGTTGATGTTGATCACCCACACAGCAATGCAAATGTATGTAATCCACTGTGGGGAGCAGAGAAGCGGAGGTGTGTGTGTGTGTGTGTGTGCAGGTGAGAAAAAGAGCTATCAAACAAGCCTAACCAACCAAGGTACAACCACAGCAAACAGGAAGCAGGATGTGCATGTTCACAAGTCACACAGAAACGAAGGTGCGTATGCAGCTGCACGTCAACACATCCACACGCACACACATACACACACAGTGATGTGTACCTTGCAGAGGCGCTCGCCAAACTCCTCAAGACGGATCTTGAGCGGCGTCTTGCGGTCCTCGTCGCTCGTCAGCTCCTTGTTGATGTTGCCAATCTCCGTGTGGTTGCCAGTCGACACAACCACGCCAAGCGCCTTGCCGCTGTTCACCATGGTGCCCTGTGCAAGAGAAAAAAAGGTTGAAGCAGCAAAGGGGTCATCGTGATGATGAGGAGTCGAAATCTCGTTGTTGGGAAGATAACTCACAGCGTGCAGCAGGTATGCAGCAAGACTTGGTGGGCCGCAAAGCAGGATTCAGTGAGACAATCCACAAGAACGCCCAATCCCAAGAACAGACTGTACTGCACTGTCGCCATGCCACACGAAGGGTGCCTCGGCACGGGCACACTTACAGAGAAGAGGAGGTTCTTCTTGTCCTGGTTGACGGCATCGTCGATGGGGATGGGCTCGGGGTGCTTCATCACAGAGTCACTCTCACCTGTCCATGGCGGAATGGGCAAGGCGCACGCATGAGGTTGGCCACGGCATTGTGGATGGTGCGCCCTTGGAAATGGCGTAGTTCTTCACGACATGCAAATGTACAGATGTACTTGCAGGCGTGTGACACACATGACCAACACGGTGCAAAGGGGGCGGGAACTAAAAGGCAAGCCAGCGAACCAGTGAGGATGGACTGGTCAATCTTGAGGGTGGTGCTGAGGAGCTTGATGACGCGGAGATCAGCTGGGATCTGGTCACCAACTGGCAGGGGAGGGGGAGCACATTGGGCCAAGAAACAAGGTGGAGGGCAAAGGCAGTTAGTTAGTGGTTGCGCCGAGATACAAGTGTCAACAGCGTCGACAGCGTCAACAGACGGGCTAAGCATGAGCACGTGATGATGCCAGATGTGTCCTCGTTGGGGGTTGGGCGGTAGGGTCACTCACAACAGCACCCGTAACAACGCGAAGCACATGCAGTGGAGCTGCAACAGGATCAGGAAACTCACCGGCAACCTCGACAATGTCGCCGATGACGAGGTCGCGGCCGGCAATCTCCTCCACGTGGGTACCGGTGGCCTGACGGATCACCTTGGCGGTCTCAGACTCGTACTGCTTCAGCTCAGCAATGGCAGACTCGGCGTTGCGCTCCTGTCCAGCCAGAAGGGTATGTGTGTGCATGTGGGGAAGAGCGGGAGAACAGGGTGAGTGAGACAGGGAGACAAGAGTATGTGTGTGAGAGTGAGACACAACACACACAGAGAGAACATGGCACAACAAACGAGGGCGAGTTTGCCAGATCCATTTTCAGAACCGCCAACAAGCGCGACACACGCACCTGCCACACGCCGACGATGGCGTTGAGGATGAGAATAACGACGATGACAAACGGCTCGACAAAGGCGGTAAACTGCTCATCTGGGTCCTCCTCGAAGAAGGCAAGGCCCTGTTCAAGGACAGAAGAACACGCACACACACGCACACACAAACAAAGCGTTATGGATGAGTTTGCACCAATGCCGACACACAAGCGTACATGAACCACTGTTTGTGATGACACGTGGACACGCGTGCGCTCGCTTTGGGCGCGTTCTCGCAAAACACACGCGATCAGAGACGCTGGCGCACATGATCACACACACACACACACGTACCAGGGAGATGGTGGCGGCGGCAAGGAGAATCTTGACAAGGAGGTCGTCAAACTGCTCCAGGACAAGCTCGAGGAGCGACTTGCCCTCTTCCTCAGGAAGCTCATTGTGTCCAAACTTCTCCAGGCGTTCCTTCACTTGCTGGTCGGAGAGACCCTTCTTCTCATCGACTTGCAGCTCCTTGAGGAGCTCAGCCGTGGTCTTCTTCCACGGCTTGACGGGAAGCTCAACCATCTTCGGTGTGGAGGGAGTCGCAGCACAACACGAGCGTGCAGCGAAGCGGCAGATGGGATCGGTTCAGCAACGGAAAGCGCAGATCAGCAGCAGCAGCAGCAGCAGCAGGAGGGAGCACGGAGAGGGGTGTCAGCGATCGAGCGGAATCAAAAAGGTTCAAGTGGTCGTGTGGTGTGAGGGGTAGAATGAATGTCGTTGGGAAGGGTAAGAAAGCGAACAGGACAGGCCGTGGTGGTGGTGCGTTGGTTGGTGAGGTGTCGGCGAGACTCAAGAAAAGAAGCGAGCAAGAGAAAGGAAATCGAAATTGAAACCAAAGCAAGTAAGAAAAAGGTGACCAAGCAAGTGGTTGACCACGCGCGTGATGTGATGACACACACTGCACAGCGAGAGAGAGAGAGAGAGAGAGAGAGAGAGAGAGAGAGAGAGGAAATGGCGGTGGCAATCAAGCAACCAACCAACCGACACGAAAGTGACAGCAACGCGCGCAGCCACGACACCCTCTCCCTCCACACGCAACACGTACACACACACACACACGCCATACACCACGCACGGCCACGCCACTCGTATCCCCCACCCGCTCGCGTGCTTACCTTCCCAAGGTCCACGTCAGACAGCACAGCAACAACCAAGGCACTCAGCACAGATGGAGGAACACGTCGTTCCGATGACGATGGCAGATGATGATGGGATGAGAGGGGTTGGTTGTGAAGATGACAGCAAGCAAGTTTTCTGGCTCACTCTCTCTGCTCATGTGCTCTCTGCTGCTTTTGTGCCAGCACACCCGAACCAATCGTTCCCGAAAAAAACGGCTGAAAGCGTGTCAGCAAAAATTGAGTGCGCATTTATGTATGTTTCGCACCAATTTTCTGCAGTCAAATTGCGTATCCACCACGGACCGCACGCAACGGACAAAATTTATCGTGTTTGGGGCCGTTTTAATTCGCTGCGTGGGTGGTTGTGCTCAGCGTTTGGTTGGGGGAATTGTGTGCCAGCCAGAGTGCCACGTGTTTCCTTCCCCCGCCTTCACTCTCATTCTCTCGCGTCAGGAAGAATGCGAGATTGTGGTTGTTTGTGGTTGTTTGTGGGTTGGCTGGATGAACAGCGGTGAACGATGGAAGGGGTGTAACAATAACGAGATGAGTGCAACAACGTCACATCACATGCCGCGTTTGAAGGAACGAGACAACGATGACGGTGCTTGAGCAAGACGACGGACGGTGTTGTGCTTGCTTGGCACGCCATTGGATTGAAAGAAAGAACAACACGTGCTCGGGCGGTTAGGAGGGCATGTGACAGACTTCAGAAAAAAAGAAAGCAAGTCGCTCAGGGCTCTCAAGGCTCTCAGGGTTAGATCAAGTCAGGTAGAAGAAAAGAAGTAAGGGAGAACGTGCGCATAGCATCAACTATGAGAGAGAAGCGGCGAAACAAACCCAGACTGCATCAATCGCACATGCATGAGAAACAGAAAGAAAGACAACACAAACACACGCGCGGAGAAACAAAGGGGGGGCGCACTCTGAGCGCAAACCGGTGTAACCCACTGAACAGATGTGGAGCAGGGGGGGGGGAGAGATCAGAACAACGCACCACACGCAAACATCGCAACAAACGACACGGGGGAAAAGCAACCACAGAAAGAACCGGTGCCAGAGCCAGCAGTCACACACACACACGCACACACACATATTCACACACGCACACATTCCACACATATTCACACACGCACACAATCGCACGCCAAATCAGGCGTCCACATCGCTCTCATTCAAGTCGAGCTTGTAATCACCATCATGGTCGTCATGTTGTGGCTGGTCTTGCAACCCGACAACGTCGAGGTAGCCGTGCACGTGCTGCATGTCGTCGTCCTCGTCGAGGGCGGCGTCGAGCGTGTCGTATGGCGGATCAGCGCTGGCAAACAGCGCCGTGTCATATGTTGGGTTGGACAGCGCAGGCCCAATGTCGGGGACATGGTCGTAGCCACCGTCTCCCTCGCCAAAGCCAGGCACGTTGTCGTAGCCAGTGTCGGCATCTCCACCACGCGTTAGCGACGTTGGGTCCTCGTACAGCGGGTTGTGGAATGCGCTTTGCTGGCCATCTGTTGATTTTGTTAAACAGGACGTGAAAAGGTGAGGGGGGAGAGGTGGAAGAGGTGGAGGGACGAGGAACAAGTCGTCGTGAGACATTGCAACGCTAGCAAATGTCAAAGGCAAAGTATGGATGACAACGGCATGCACGCTGTGCAACAGGTGCAGCTAAGTCACACACGCACACGCAATGTACACACACACGCACACGCACACACACACATGTGCAGACGCACCTCGGGACTTGCGGGGAGGTTGCAGGACATGTGCACGGCGACGGCGGAGAATGAGGGCTGCCACAACAACACACGCACCAAGCACTAGCGCCCCAACTGTGGTGTGTGTGTGTGTGCGTGTGTGTGTGTGTGTGTGTGTGTGTGTGTGTGTGTGTGTGTGTGTGTGTGTGTGTGTGTGTGTGTGTGTGTGTGTGTGTGTGCAGTCATGTGAGTGACGGCAAAGCATGTCACATGCATGCGGCATGCATGGGCAGCGCTATCAACCCCTCCACGTTCCCATCCACCATCCATCATTGCCACCACCACCACCACCACCACTTTGATGACTGCGTGACGTACCGACGATGCCGACAATGAGACCCGTGTTGCCAGCGGCAGTGTTGCTGGACTTCTCTGGGGAGCGCGTGCCACCTACAAACAACAACACAGCGACATGATACAGAGCAGCAGCGTTAGCGATCGTCGCCGCTCAACAAGGAAAAGGCACAACACCAACCAAGCGCACAATGTGCCGAGGAATGAAACACCAACGCACGTTTCATTGCGACAGACATCAGCCTCAACACAGACACCAACATCATGAGCATCAACACACAACAATAATGTCACCTTGCGGGGTAGTTGTTGGCGTGGGAGACACCGTCACAGGCGGCTGGCAGTCGTTTGCGTCAGCGCTGCCCTCGGGTGATGTCCAGCCATCAGGACACGGCGTGCACACCGTGGCCGCGTCATTTGCCTGGTTTGTGAAAAACGAAGAAGTGGGAAGTCAAAAGCAAAACGCAGAAATGTCAGACGTGAAACAGAGGACAAACACTTGTTCGTACACACAAACACAACTCACTCACTCACTCACGCACTCACGCACTCACGCACGCCCTCACGCACTCACGCACACACGCACACACACTCACATTCCACAAACACTCACTCACTCGCACACACACTCACTCACTCACTCACTCATTCTCACCCACACACACACGCACATACCCACCCACACACACGCACCACCCTACAAGCACCGCGCACGCACGTGTGTGTTGGCGGGGCACGCGGTGCAGTTTGGCCGTGAGCCCGAGGGCGAGATGTAACCTGGTGGACAGGGCCCCGCCAGCACAGCAACAAAGCGCTGCTGCTTTGCGCGCCACCAGAACGCCACATGACCGCTCTCAACAGCGCCTTGGAGCATGGGCACCAGGCTGCCGTTGGACACGCCCACATCGGCCAGGATGCTGCCTGCCGACAGCACGCCCTTGAAGTACACGTCGTCACTGCCTGCAGGCACCCCGCCACGTGCGCTGAGGGTGGTGTTGCGCAATGCGGAGAACAGCAGCTGAAGGAACGTCGCCTCTTCCTCCGCGTTTTGCAGGATGGAAAAGTCGGCGCGAAACTGCACTTGGAGCGAGCCCGCACTGCCCCGCATCACGCACACGCGATCAGACGTGCGCGTGGCGGGGAGAAATTCCACGTGGCCAGACTGGCACACGGAGACGGGCGTGCAAGCGGTGGCGCCGTTGTCTACGTAACCGACGCCGAGCTTGCACTGGCACACGCGGTCGCTCACAGCTGTCGGTGGCACAACTTGCTCCTCCAGCGAACCGCACACGCGCACGGGCTTGCACGAGGTTTGGTCTACAGGTAGGCGGTGTGGTGGTGTGGTGGTGTGGTGGTGTGGTGGTAGTGGTGGGGGGTGAAGAACAAGACACGAAGACAACAAGGGAAAGATTAGTAGTGGATTGTGAGAGACAAATTAAAAGCCACCAGGCATGCGCAGTGCGCACACACACACACACACATGCACGCACAACGACCACACACGCACACACGAACACACACATGCACGCACAACAAACACACACGCACACACACATGCACGCACAACAAACACACACACATGTACGCACAACAAACACACACACGTACTTCACACACACACACACATGTACGCACAACAAACACACACACGTACTTCACACACACACACATATGCACACTTGCACTGTTTCGTACCCGGTTCGTTTTGGAACTCCGTGGTGCCGTCGCAGCGACCGCATTGCGTGTCCGATGAAGAAGTGGCGGGAGCAGACACAAACTCGCCAACGCCGCACACGCGCGCGGGCTGGCACTTGACACTCGAGCGCGCGTCCTGATATTCGCCCTCGCCACATGGTGTGCACTGTGCTGCGTTCTCGGTGTCGGAATAGGAACCAGCGGGACAGGCCGTGCACTCGCGGTTCTGCGCTGGCAGCGGCATCACGCTCACGTACGACCCGGGACGACACGTTGTCAGTACTTTGCACGTGCTCTTGTCTGTGAACAAAAAAAACATCAAGAAGGGAAGCGGTGGGGAGATGCGGTGAAAGTTATGGTGAGTGGACTGGCAATGCACGTTTTTGGCGGTCTCTGAGTCACTTGAGTCTCTGCTCCCGCGATCCATGCACGTGGCACAATAGCGGCAGAAACCCACAGTCACATGTAACAACAAAAAAAATGCACACACACACAAAAAAAAAGAGCACACACACAAGCACGATCACAAGTACACACAAGCGCACACACGAGCACACACACACACACACAAGCACACACAAACACACACAAACACAAGCACACACAAACACACACACACACACACACAAATACACACCTTGCTCGTCCTGGTACTCGCTGTTCTCAACCAGACAGGATTCACAGCTGCGGTCCGTGCTGGTGGTTGGCGATGTCACCTCGTGCGTGCCAGGCTGACACACCCCTCGGTGCGGCTGACACATGCCTGCTTCCCCTGCTTTGAAGGTGCCATCACCGCACGGTTTGCACACACGATCGCTGGATGTTGTTGGCGGAATGTCCTCCTCCTGGCCAGCAGGGCACGCACTCACGCTCTGGCACGCTGCCTGTCCGCTCTCCGCCTTGAACGTCACCGTGGCCTCGCATGGGGTGCATGTTCGGTCGGTGGTGAGCGTGGGTGGTGTGTCCTCTTCATAGCCGGGCGCACAGTCACTCACGGGCGCGCACGCTTCCAGTGTTGGCGTGGAGGAGAACGTGTGCGGTGGCGAGCACGGTGCACAGACGCGATCAGTGGAGGGTGTGGCTGCCGTCACAAGTCCAGAGCCAACGGAACACGGCTGCACGGGTGTGCACGATGCCATGTTGGCCTCGTTGCTGAAGGTGCCAGACGGACACGGCTTACACTTGCGGTCGCGTGTCGATGTGAGAGGGACGTCGACATATGTGCCAGGCTCGCACACCGTTGCGTTTTCGCACTGCGTGGCGGTCGGGTTGCTGGAATACTGATTGTATGTGGGGTCACACAGCTGGCACACGCGGTCGGAGGTTGCTGTTGGCGCGGTTGTCACCACCTCGCCAACAACACAGTCCGTCCACGGCTGGCACTCCTCCTGCCCTGCTGTGGCCTTGAAGTGCTTGTTGGGGCAGCGCGTGCACGTGCGGTCCGTCGAGGGTGTTGGATCAGCGAGCGTGATCATACCAGGCGGGCACTCGGTCACCGCAACGCACTCGCCTTCCTTGAAGTACTCGCTCGTGCCATCGCACGACTCGCACACTGTCAATGTGGGGAGGGATGGGGTAATGTAGTGTGTGTGTATGTGTGTGTGTGTGTGCGTGGGTACGCGACAGGGGGTGTTGTTCGTGTGCGTGCGCGCGCATGTGTGTGTGTATGGTTGTGAGTGCGCACATGGCCACACTGCTATGCCAGGTTTCATTCTCGTGCGTGCAGCCACTGCACAAAACATTGCTTCACCTCACCTCGGTCTGATGTCGGCGTGGGCTCCATCGCCACGACCTCATATTCCCCGCAAGTGGTCAGGCCAGCGCACACTGCGGAACAGGCAGAAACACAGCATGGGGCGCATGACCAATTTTGTGTTCGTGTGCGCGAGTGTGTGTGTGTGTGTGTGTGCGTGGATGAGTGAGAGTGTGTGCGTGAGCGTGTGTGATCAAGGTACGATCTGCCCGTGCGTTCAAAACAAACGCAACAAACAGGCAAACAGCAATAAGGAACAGCATCAAGCGGGTCAACCCCCCCACCCCCCACACCCACACACCCACACACCCACACACACACACGCACGCACCTCTGTCGGACACAGGCGTGGGCGGGTGGACTTGGTAGGACCCAGACGGGCAGTCGTGAATGTCATCGCACACCCTGGTAAAGTACAATCCATGCATGTGAGCAAGGAAAACCATAGCAAAGCACACGTGCACACATATGCACCACAACACTTACGCATCAAGCATCAACAGCACAACCATCACGTCACATTCATGTCAAACACATGTGCGCAATCAAGTGGATGACTCACGTATCAAGGGTGTGGCTGCATGGCGTCTTCTGGTACTGCCCGTCCCCACACACTGTGCAGTTGCCACACTTGGTGTCGTCCTCAGTCGTGCATTCCATCACCACGTACTGGTGTGGCAGGCACTCGGTACAGTTGGCACAGCCTGTTAAGGTGATGATGAGAAACAACAACAACAAAAAACAAGAGATTAGGATGGAACGGTGAAAGGGAAGCAGCACCAGTCTGCCGGATGCACGCACGTCAATACCCAGCACACACACACACACAACCCCGCAGCTCCACACACACACACACACACACGGGCACATTGCTCACGCACGCACACACACACACACACACACACACACACACACACACACACACACACACACACACGGGCACATTGCTCACGTGTGTCTGATGTGCGCGTGCACTCGCGGGTGGGCGTCTGGTTGTCTGGACAAGAGAGGCGACAGGCGGCGCACTCCCGATCGCTCACATACACGCCGTTCACTTTGGTTGGTGGCATCTGTTCAAACTCGGGCGCGGTTGCATCGTCGTACTTGCACTGCGTAAGTGGCGCGCACACGCGATCAGCGTACTGGCCAAGGGACTCCTGCTCCCACTCCATCTCTGCATCGCACACCGTGGCCGCCTGGCACGTGTTGTCGTGTGTTGCGTTGCCGCGCGCAGCAATAAACGCGTCAGCATCGCACGTCTTCCACTTTCGACACGCCGTGTTGATGCCCGGTGAGAACGTGCCGAGCGGGCAGCGGCCGCACACGCGATCAGATGTGGCTGTCGGCCTCTGCATCTCCTGCGTGCCGGGCGCACACAGCTTCACCCGCGAACAGGCAAAGTTGCCCTCCGTGGGCTTGAACGCAAGCGCTGCGCCCGTGTCCTCGTCAGTTGCACACGGCACGCACATGCGGTCCTGTGAGGCGCTTGGTGGGGCGTCGTTGCTCGGTTGCATGCCCGCACCACATGTGGTCCACGGGACACAGCGCGTGCCGTTGCCACCAATGGCGTTGAACGTCCCCATCGTGCATGCGACGCACACGCGGTTGCGGGTGGTGGTGGGGCGAAGCGCCTCCTCCTCGCCCGGTGCGCACATGTCCACGCGAGAGCACGACAGGCTGCCCTCTGCTGCTGCATAGGTTTGGCCGAGCATGCACGCCGCACACGGTGTGGAAGGGTCGCTGTCATCGTCCGCAGTGCCGGCAGGGCACTTGGGACAGGGGCCAACGTGGCCAGGCGGCGTGTACGTGCCAGCATCACAGGTCGTGCACGCGTTGATGCTGTTTGGATCAAGGTCTGTCGTGCCGGCTGCACACTGCGTGCATTTTCGATCTGTGGTTGTTGTTGGAGCCTTCAGCTCATATTCACCAGCCTTGCACGGCGTGAGCATCCGACACACGCGGTTGCTTGTTGGCGTGGGCGCTGCTGTTTCATACTCGTCCTCTGCACACGCCGTGACGCGAGCACATACAGCATCAGCCGTTGCCGTGCATGGTGTCACCTCGTACAACGCGTTGCCATCAGTGTCCTTGTTGCACGACGCGCATGCCACGCACCGCTGCGACTCTGGTTCGCAAAGAACCCACGGTTGCACTCGGCGACGCACACACCACGCGCCGGGGACATGTCACCACCACCGCCGCCGCTGTTGTCGTTGGGCTGCAGGAAGAGGTTCGATGCTGGCGCACAGGAGAGGCACGCGTTATCTGCTGTTCCATCGCACGTCGCGCAGGTGTCGTGGCACATTTTGCACTGCCCTGCTGAGGTGTCTGCAAACTGCCCGAGCGGGCACGAAGACACGCAGCGCTTGCCATCCAGCGACCACACGTACCCATCAGCACAGCTTGTGCACTTGTCTGCACCCAGGGCAGAGCACGCGGCACACGTGCTGTCACAGGCAACGCACACGGGCGTGGTGAACATGCCACACTCGCCAAGCAGAACCTGGTTGGTGTCACAGTCGTCCGTGGTCGTGCACTGCGCACACGTGCCATCGTCCCGCGTGTACGTGGAAGGGTCCATCTCATGGCACGTTGGTGCCGCTGTTGTGGTGGTGCCGCCTGTCGTGGACTCGGGTGGCGCCGTGCTGCTTGCAGGCATGGCTGTGGTCGTTGATGTCTGGAAGTGCCGCGGGCAAATCGCCCAGAAGAGGCCTTCGTTGCCCTGGTCCTCAACGGCGCGTGGGCAGTACTGTGACACATAGCACCAGGTGCCACATGCGCCACCATCACCGTCGCTGTTGGTCTGGCCCGTGCAGGCGCACGATGGCGTGACAATCGGTGACAGCTTCTTGCAGACGACTGCGCGCTGGGCGGTGCACACCCCGTCATCATACCAAAGGCCAGCAGCACGCTTGTCATCACCCGTGCTGTTGCTTGCTGTTGCAGCGTTCTTGGTCAGGTCGAGATACGCACAGCCGTCCTTGCCACCCTGCGCGGTGGGCTGGCCATCTGCCCAGTTGGCAAACGTACCCAAGCTGTTCACGTCACCAAACGGGGTGCCATCCACCCACATGTAGTCAACACCGCCCGCCACATCCCCATTTTCTGTGGTGCGCAGGCCGATCCAGGCGCTGGTCACGCCGGCGTCTCGCAGCAACTGCACCACGTTCTCCGTCTCGGGCAGAGAGTGCAGGCTAACAACGGTCGCATTGTCCACGCTGCACGCGTCCACAGCGCCTGCAAAGGATGTGGTGATCGGAGAATTGCCGGCAGTCGATGCCGTGGTCGCCACCTTGTAGCAGCGGTTGTTGATGCGTGTGAACCCGTGCTCGCACGCGGGTTGCTCCACGGCACAGATGCGGGTGAGGTAGAAGTCCGTACAGTCTGGGAACAGGCCACAGGGCGCGCGGTGCAGGGCTGGGAAGTCGCTGTCCACGGTGGCTGAGGGGCACGTGGCGTCAACGTAACACCACTTGTTGCCATCGCCATCCCACGCATCGCAGCTGCCGCCACGCTGGCTCAGCTCATCCGACAGTGTCTGTGGTATTGTGACACCGAGTGCGAGTTTGAGGTTGGCATTGTGTACACGCGGGTGCATGCTTTGCACGTGTACATCGTTGTGTGTGCGTGCTTACGGGCGCGTGTGCGTATGTGTGCGTGCGTGCAGGTGTTTCATGTGCGTGAGCGCATGTTGCTTTGTCCACGCTGCACGCGTCCACAGCGCCTGCAAAGGACGTGGTGATCGGAGAACTGCCGGCAGTCGATGCCGTGGTCGCCACCTTGTAGCAGCGGTTGTTAATGCGTGTGAACCCGTGCTCGCACGCGGGCTGCTCCACGGCACAGATGCGGGTGAGGTAGAAGTCCGTGCAGTCTGGGAACAGGCCACAGGGCGCGCGGTGCAGGGCTGGGAAGTCGCTGTCCACGGTGGCTGAGGGGCACGTGGCGTCAACGTAACACCACTTGTTGCCATCGCCATCCCACGCATCGCAGCTGCCGCCACGCTGGCTCAGCTCATCCGACACCTGGCCGTTGCACGCGCAGTTTGGGTTTTCGTTGAGCTGCCCAGAGAAGAGCTCGCCGCTGTCGCTTAGCTTGCCGGTCAGCTGGTGGGCGTGCACGTCGAGGGGGTGCATAGTGATCCAGGCATCCTTGGTTGGCGTGAACTCGACAGCAAAGCACGTCGTCTCGCTGTCAAACGTCGCCGTGGTCTTGTACTGCCCAATGCCGGCATAGTGGTCAAAGTCCACGATGGCAGTGATGGCGCCCGTCGATGGATCGACGCTCTCAATCAACAGCTCCATGCGTCGCACATCCTCCACCCCTTCCGCTGCCTTCATGTCACCGACGGTGCGCGGGGTGCAGTGGTAGGTGCCCAGCCACGCGTCCCCCGTGTTGAAGGTTGTGGGTTCGTACTCTGCCGAGCACTGTTTCTGCAGTCGCACACTGCCTCCATCGCCGTATGACCCAGTCATCTCTGTCCAAGAAGGCGGGGAGGGGGGTGGACGTATGTGTTTTGTGGGAGGTGAATGAGTATGGAGAAAGAAACTGGGTTCTGCAAGAGCAAACGCAACGAGCGCTGCGAATTGCACCCACGTACACAAACACACAATCATAAAACCTCACAAGCAACACACACCAACGCACGCACACAAGTACACACACACACAAAAGCACACAAGTACACACACACAAAAGCACAAAAGCACACAGACACACACACAGACACACACAAACACACACACACACACAAGTACACACACGCACACAAGTGCATGCATGTACACACAAACACACACAAACACAGGCAAGTACATGCATGCACACACCGATGTGCTGGTCGTCGGTGTGCTGAAGTGTTGCGTCAATGTTCTCACGCACAAATGTGCGGTCTGTGATGCCGCCCCAACCGCCGGTACCGGGCACAAACGTCGCAGAGAAATGATTGGACGACACGTGCGCGGTGTAATAAAACTCGGAAACACCAGCCGATTCTTCCCGGCAGCCCGCAGCCTCGTTGCAGTACTGGCCGTGCGTGAACGTCGCATACAGGCGCACGCTGCTGCCGCTCGCAGACACCACCTTCAAATTGCAATCCATTGGGGATTGGGTAGGGTGCGTGGAAATAAAGGAGACGAGAGAGGGATAAGGGGGGGGTATGATGAGGGTGGCACGTTGCGGGAACAGAAAGTACTGGCAGCAAGCACAGAACAGCTGTCACGTGTAACTGCAAACCCGCAAGAGCACGACGCACACGCGAAGTGAAAGCGCAAACGTACAACACAGACACACGTGCCATCACACCTCAAAGGAGACGCGCCCTGTGCAGGGGGTGGTGCCGCCTGAAGAGGTCTTGCACGATGCAGAGAAGTGGCCAACCCACTCGTCGCCAACAGCAAACAGGCCCGACGACGCATCTGTCACAGATGGTGAGTTGCGGTGGTGAGTTTTGATCATGGTAGTAGTGTCGTTGGTGTGTCGTTGGTGTGAGATGGAAGCAGGGCGAGTCGATGGATGAATGAACATGGAGGCGGCATGCTGGTACAAAACGCCGCCAAGCCTTGAACACAACGATAATGTGCATCGTCTCACCGCCAGCGTCGACTGGTGTGCACTGCTTTGCGTTTGTTGAGCCGGGCGTGGATGTTGTTCCATCCGGGCAGTGCAGACAGATGGTTTGCGCAAGGTTCGTCTGCAGTGCAACACATGAACGCGAACATGAGTGTACACGTTTGTGTGTGTGTGTGTGTGTGTGTGTGTGTGTGTGTGTGTGTGCGTGTGTATGTGTGTGTGTGGTGATGAACAGCCGCTGTTGCAACGAACACCAGCGCGAGGAACACCAATACAAGCACGAACACGTCACAAACACGGTACGGATGCATTGTTTCATCACCACTGTCCCCTTTCCAGTTCAAATATGACGTACGTATGTGCCTGCGCGACACGTGGTGCACTCGTCAACACGATCCCCCGATGCGGAAATCGTTCCGTCGGCACACGGGCCGTCGTGTTTGCCAAACCGTGCCGTGTACACGTCCCTAAATTGTCGGTGGTAGATCGATCGTCGTGACGAGGTGATGAGGAAATGTTAACACTGTTGTGAGGTCAGGGCATCTCGAGCAAGGCTTCGGCGTGTGTGTGTGTGTGTGTGTGTGTGTGTGTGTGTGTGTGTGTGTGTGTGTGTGTGTGTGTGTGTGTGTGTGTGTGTGTGTTTGTGTTGAGGCGAGGCACGCAAGCGACACAAATGCACGCTAAGGAAAACACGCCACTCGCGGCTTACCCAAAGAGTGGAGGGAACTGGACCTGCAGCGTCTTGTCCTCAATTTCCTTCACGGTGGCGTCCTTGATGGCGTCATCCAGAAACATGACGTCAGCAGTGATGTAACCACTCTTTCCTCCGGCATCTGTCTCGGCCGTGGATGTGGATGAAATTGACACGGCAACAGCGGCATCATCGTCAACGCTGTTGAGATTCGTGATGGCCAGTGCAACCTGCGACTCAAACGACCGCTGTGTGTGTGTGTGTGTGTGTGTGTGTGTGTGTGTGTGTTGGTGGGACGGGTGTGAGACAAGAACACTCACAATGTGGTCAAAACACAATCACGCAAGCACACCACAGACACAGGCACACATGGGCACCTTATAGTTGTCGCTGGTGATGAGGTCGTCGTAAAGAGCATCAAACCGAAGTTGGAGATCGACTGGCGAAGATGATTTTCAGAAAGGAGGTGTATGTAGGAAGCAGTAAGAAAAAAGAAATGATGTTGTTGTGGAAGGCGCAAGTGAACACTTCCGGCTCATATGCACATCCATCTACACATGCATACAATGCGCGCGAACAAAGGTACGTTCACACACACACACACACAAGCATGCACACAAGACACTCACTCTTCTTTTCGTAGTAGTCGAGGTGCTGTGAAGCGTCGGTGACAAAGGCACCTGGGGCAGACTGTCTGTTGTCGTAGGAGAGATAGCAGTCGTACTCCTTGGTCGTGCCCAGCTGGCCGGCGTCAAAGCTCTTGCAACACACGTCATTCAGGCACAGCTGCGCACACGCCTCTGGCGAGTTTTCCTGGAAGAAGAGTCCACCATCGTCGTGGTCGCGAAGATAGGCGTTGGCTACCTTGGTGAAGCGGCGGTCAAGGACGGGGCCTGATGTGTGTGTGTGTGTGTGTGTGTGTGTGTGTGTGTGTGTGTGTGTGTGTGTGTGTATGTGTGTGTGTGTGTGTGACGTAATAA